CCAGCGTGCGGCGGGCGGGCGCTGCCCTGGGCCGTGGCGTCCTCCAGCCCGCGCGGCTGGCAGCCGGCCTGCGGCTCCTCGGGCCCGGCGAGCGCCACGGACGACAGGCCGGAGTTCGGGCCTGTGCTCGGGGCTTTGCTCCGGGTTGCGTGCCGGCCGGGTGTGAGGGTGGGTCCCCGGCCTGGGTCCGTGTTGTCCGGCAGGAGGCACGACTGGAGCCAGGCTGGGAAGCCGTCGTCGGGAAAGACGCGGCCGTCGGCCTAGGGAGCCGGGGGAATGGGCGCTTGGCATGTGTGTGTTGCACGGTGACCCTGTTCTCCTGCAGTCGTGCAGGTTACGAAGGGGTCTTGCGTTTTCGTCTCACTGCGTCCTGGCCACGGGGTGATCTCGGCTGATGGCGGTGTTGGTGAGCTGGTAGCGCCGCGGCCCAGCTCGAAGTGTCAGGTCCGCCCCATCGATGTCTGGGCCTCATTTCCCCTTTCTCAAAGTTTAGGGGGACAGACCCTGAGTCCGTGATCCCTGAAATAGAGGCATGGTCGAAGCTGATTGCAGACGCTAAGTGGAATAGAGTCGCGAGTGCCCTGATGGAGGCGCCCTCCCGGCTTTGGGGTGGCCCGGCTCGGGTTTAGGAGAGCAGCTGACTGTGGGCGAATGCTGAAGGCATAGTGTTTGCTAACTAGTCGTGGTGGAAGAGGAAATCATGGCAGGAGCCGAGTCCAGCAGGCTGTAAGGTGCCTGAGCTCGGGGAGAGATTGCAGCTGGAAAAGGGGGCGGGGCTGGGTCACCAAGTGGCTTGTAGCTGTGCCGGTCAGGTGAGCTCTGCACCCCACCCTTGAAGCACTGCCACCGAACCCCAGCTTCTCAGTCCTTTGTTAAAGGCATTTCCCTAGGTAGCGTGGACTCACTTGAGGGCTTTGCTCCAATCTGCTTCCTAGCAGTTCACTCTGGAGAGTTTGGGGATTGGGTTTGGAGGTGGGAGAGTGGAAGGCTGCGAACGGAAGCCTTGAGGACGGTCTGAACGAAGGCGACACCTGTAGGTGGGAGTCGGGACTCACTCAGCAGAGTCTGTCATTGGTGGAATCTGCAGGGCTTACTTGGCCATGGGGAAGGGGGAGGGAGGTTGAGGAGAGAGGAGAGCATCTTGGGCTTTTCTCCCGGGTTTGGGTCACTGACAACAGCCACGAAGAGGAAGGTGGGAGACACTCGGCTCCAGGGAGCCTGGAGAAGGTAGAGCAGACAGCCTGGGAACGCGGGGGGTAGCAGCGGGGACCGGTGGGCGGGGGCCTGTGCTCTGCCCTCACTGTGTGACTCTCACAGACACCCTGAATCCTGAGGGCATCAGATTGCCCCACTTGGGCTGTGGCACGCTTTTCCTGCCCCCGAAGCTGTGGTGGTGGGAGGTCCTGTGACCGCACCCCACGGTGCCCCTGGTCAGCAGGTCACTTTCCCAAGGGAAGCAGTTTCATTCCCAGAAGAAGCAGGGGGCAGTCTGGAGCAGAGAACTCGTCAGGCGCAGTTTTGCACATTTGGGGCCCGGCCTCTGTGGCAACATCGTATAGGAAGTTAGAACCTCTACTCCAGGCCTACAGAGATGTGGTGGTGTTCCGGGCGACAGCAGGATGCTGTTTCAAAAGTAGGAGGAATCAAGGAGACCTTCAAGATGATACCTGGGAATGCTGCCCCTCCCACCCACTTCCTTTGCCTGGAACTAAATTTTGACTCCCACCTGGGCACCTTTCCCTCCCTCACCTTCCTCTGCCCTGGAGGGGCGTGGCTTCTCTCGAAAAACAGCCCTGACGTATTCTCACCTTTCCTTTCCCAGGCCGGAGGCAGCACCGGGCTCCTGATGGATTTGGCAGCCAATGAAAAGGCAGTTCATGCCGACTTTTTTAACGGTAAGGACGCCGGGATCGGGGGTCCCGGGTCTAATCGAATGTCTCTCTGTGTGTTGTAAGTGGGGTGCTTTGTGACGAGAGTGCTTGGGGTCAGAGGACAGGGAAGCCCAGCTGTGTGCGGTTCTCAGACGCGGCGCGGTGCGTAGGAGGTGACAGCACGGCTGTCAGCGCTGGCCGTCAGCCTTGTTCTTCGGGAGAACAAGTGGCGTAAAATTGCCCCGGTCGTAGTGTGTTTTTACACAAGTCGCGTAAAAATGTCTCCTTGCACTCCAGTAGTTGAACTTGAGCTGCAGCCACGCTTCGGACGCGGGTGTGGGAGCCCCAGCCTGCCTTCTCATCTCTGCTGCATCCTGACACCTGGTTTCCTTTCCTTTCCTGTGTCCCTGGGCTCTGGTTGGTCGGCTCCCTTAGCACAGCGACACCGGCTGTCCCCTCCCTTGTCTCTGAGGGCAGGACTCACTAGTATTTAAGAGCTTTAGCGCCAGTTACCAGGCGCGTGGGTGGTAAGCGCGGTGGAAACAGTTGACGTGACACCTTCCCGCGTGTCACGGGGGCATTTCTCTGTGTTCCGACTTCCCAAGGCCTTGTTCCTACAGAATGTACTAATTCACACTAAGGGTTTGAATCGTAAACGGAAACACGAGAGGGATCTTCCTCGGAGGGTTAAGTGTGATCTTCTCTCCTTGTCACCTTTCTTTCATCTGGGCGCCCGCTGCTCCGAAGACCTTCTGTCGCTAGTTAGTGGCAGCTGGGATGCGATCTGGCCACACTGGTTTGATGCACCAACCCCGCTCCCTCACCCCCCCCCCCACCCCCCCCCCCCCCCCCCACCTCGGAGTCCGAGGCCGTGGTAGTTTATCTTTTTAGCAAGTTGTCTGAAAAGAGAAGCCAGTCTTCCCGGGGAGTCGGGCCGCTCCCGAGGCAGCACCTGGGCTTCCCCCAGCCGTGAGGACTGGACCCCGTTTCTCTACGCTTTCCAGAGCGCCATGTGAAAGCCCTCGCTCACGTGGGGTGATCTCGGGGGCCCTTACCCCAAGCAGGGTGGGGTGATCCCTGACACCACCCGACCTGCTCCCACATGTGGTGATCTCCTTCAAGGTCCCACGCGTCTTGTGGGTTTACAGACAGTTGGCTGTGTTCAAGTTCATGTGGTTTCTAAAAATAGCCCTTTAATTCTGCCAAGGAAGTATCTGGGAGGGACCTGGGCTGCTCTGCCGCGGGAGCACGGAGCGGCATGAGCAGTGTGGCCTCCTCCCTCTGGGCCAGGGCTAGAAAGGGAAGGAGCACAGAAGAGCTCCACGCTGCGTCAGCCTGCCCCCGACAGCTCGCGAGGTGCACACCGCCCGTCGGGTTGTGGAGGTCCCAAGTGTTACTGCGAGGACGCCGTGAGCGTTTGGATGGGGTTTCTTCTGCGTCCTTCTCGCTGCTCGAGCAGAGGCTCTGTCCTCTTGCCGCCTGGGCTCTAGGGTTCAGACCATGAACAAGGCTTGCCTTCTTCACTCACTGTGTTGCACAGTAGGGGAGTGTTAGACAAGACGGCACGTAGGGGCGGTCGTGACGAGAGCCAGAGGCGGGTGGCATTGTTTCTGGGAGCACATCAGAGGGCGGTTTATCGGGGAGGGGGGGTGACACCCCAGCAGAGGTTGGAGGGTGTGACGAGTTAGCTAGGGCTGGGGGCTGGGGACAAAGTGCTCGGAGCTGTAGGCCACAGGCCAGCCCAGGTGTGGGACCGCTCACGTCGGTGCGGTGGGGACACAGCCAGGCAGGAGGTCTCTGGGACAGCACCTTTCCTGTGACAGCCTGTGACAGCCTGGATGTGCGGAGACGTGACTGGGGCTTTCCACTGCCCTCTTTGTAGCTCACTGTTTATCCTGCACCGTTTTGAACACCCGGTACTACACGGGGCTCTTTGATGTCCTTTCCCCAATATGACAGCAAGGTGTGCCCCTGGTAGCGGGTTTAGGAAACGCACAGACACGTAGACGATGACCGCCCATCGCAGCAGGTAGGGCGCTGGGAGTTTGTAGCGCTTCTTCCAGTAGGAAGGGCTCAGACAGTTTCTCCAGACTCCCTTAGAGACAACCACTCTAGCGTGGCTCAGTGCTTCTAGCACCTTCCTCCCGCCTGCCCTCTGCGTTCCCCTTGCGGTGGGGTCTCACCTCCGCCTGTGTGCGCTTTCTTGATTGTCACCGACACGGGATTAGAGATGCGTTCTAGACTCCTGTGTCCCCTGGGACTGTCTGACCTTGGGATAAAATGGAGTCGGTCGTGGGGTCCCTTCGATCGTGCACTGTTTTCTCCCTGTTTTGAATGTCTGTGTGATTCATCGTGAAGTTGTTTTCTCACTTGTTTGCCTCATGTGCCCCATTAATGCGTGGTTTTGTTCGTTTATATAGATTTTGAAGATCTCTTTGATGACGATGATATCCAGTGAGACGCCCTCCGGCAGTGCGTGTGGTCGCGCCCGCGTCACCTAGGGGTGTGGCCGATCTGCTCAGAGGACAGTTTCAGGTGGTTCTAAGGAACGGTGGACATTACGTGAAATTAGGAGACGGTTGACCAAGAAAGAGGGTGGTTGTAACCATCCGCGTGAGGCCCGCTGATCTCTAAATGTGACCGACTTTTGCCCTTCAATTAAAAAAAAGAGCTGCCGTCGTTTGCAGGGTCGTTTTCGTTTGCAGTTTCCAGCGAATGTTGTAATCCCCAAAAGTCTCTGCGAGCGCGCGTGTGGGCGCAGGTGTGTGTCGGCAAGCCGAGTGAAACACGCTCATCAGCTGAGACGCCCTTCGCGGGAGCGGGTGGGCGTGATGGCTCCCAGCCTGCCGGGTGGCATCCGTGGCTGAAGGGTACGCGGTGCGGGGCGCGCCCGGGCCCCCCGACAGCGCGCGGAGACCTTCCTCATCCCGCCCCCGCCCCGCGGGGGGTGCGTGGCACATCCCCCTCTCCCCCCCGCCACGGGGCCTCCTGCCCCCGCCTTGCCACCAGAGCTGCCGCCGTCCCCAGACCCGAGGCTCCGGGTTCGGGACGAGTGGATGATGGCCCCGGAGGAGCTGCCTTCTACGCGAGACATGCGTCCGTCTGTCCGTTTTAAGGGAACGTGACACCCGAGGGGCAGAAGAGGGTTTTTACCTTTCTCCCCGGGTCCGCTCGCCACAGATCGTGGCTGTAAAAGTTAAGACTCCTGTTCCTGCGAGGACGGTCTCCTTGACGGGGAGGCGCCCAGGCCGCGGGCCTAAGCAGTGGCGAGGCAGGGCGCCTGCCGACCTCCACCCGGAGAGGGCGCCGAGCAGCGTTACCCGGGGGCCTGTTGGTGGGCGACGTTGCCACCGAAGACACGTGAAGTTCCGAGCCGGAGGAGGTTTCCTCTGGGGGGAGGGTTCCCCACCGGGGGGGGGGGGGGGGAGGGGGGCGCCCCCCGCCCCGCCCCCCCCCCGGTTTCCTCGGGAGTGCCGAGCGGCTTTCCCTTTGTGCTCCTGCCCTGGGAGGGCGCTCCTGCCCTGGGAGGGCGCTGCAGCCCAGTCGTCCAGCAAGCTCCACGGGACCGAAAGGGGGGCGGGGTCACAGCCCAGTGTCCCTGAAAAGACGGACAGACGCGGTCTGCTGTGTCGGAAGCTTCAGAGGAAGGGGCCGTCTCTGTGTCAGAGGCTCAACGACAGGCTCCACTCCCCCGCCCCCCCAGCGGGCGGGCTGCACCCGTGCTTCCAGAGCGGTTTCCCCGAGCCGCGCTCTCAGCTTAACTACGAGCAGTTTTTACCGTGTCCCGAGCGGGTTCTGTGGGGAACAACCAGGTGTGTGGGTGAATTCTTTCGTGATCAAGTGGTTCCCCTGCGGCCTCATCCGTTGAGGTTGACGAGAGTCCCGCCAGGCTTGTCCCGCATCCGGTCGGGGCTGCGACTCGGAACGCGGCGGGCTTCGGGGACCCCACAGGCTGGTCTAGTCCAAGCAGCGCTGTCAGTGGTGATGCCCGTGTGTGTGTGTGTGTGTGTTGCACACTTAGGCCTGCTTAAGCGTTTGAGCTGTAGACCACCCTTTCCCTTCACCGAATCTTCGCGGCTTCCCTCGCACCATGAGGCCAAGACACAGCTCTCCCACCTTTTTCCTCCCTCCTCTCGCTGCACCTTGGCCGCCACCCCCCCCCCCCCCACCGGGGGAGCGGGAAATACCGTAGGAGGCAGACGGCGCCTTCTGCTCATTTATGTGCTTGTGCTGACCCCTCCGGCCACACTCTTGCCGTCGTCAGGCATACATTTTTATCGCCGGTGACCATCTCTGCCACGTTTACAAAGCCTACTGTGTGGCCACACGGTTGATCGCAGGCCCAGCTGCCAGGAAGTCGTGGAGCATCGAGGGCGAGCACAGCTCAGCGGTACAGCCGCTGGGAGAACCGGCGGGGGGCGAGGGAGACTTCTGGGAGCTTGGGCAAGACTCCTCAGGGGAGCAGGACGCCTCGCTGGAGCCCGTGAGAGCAGAAGCAGGGCTTTACCGGCTGGAAGGGCGGGTGAGCTGAGGACAGCTGGCCCCGGGCCCAGGGACCCCGGGCTAGGCCACCTCCCCCCTTCCTCTGCCCTCCAGCTGCTCTGGCCACGGGGAGACACGGCTCTGACGGGCCGGCGCCACCTGTCCCACCATCACCCTTCTGGGGTTGTGTCCCCGAGAAGGCCTCTGATTGACCCTCCATCCGTCCTGCCCCCTGGCCTGTCGGTGGCAGCCGGGCTTCCACTGCGAAAGGAGGTGGCAGCGCCCCTGCTGACCCCCTGGGGTGGGGGGAGCACCTTTCTACGAGGGGAAGGCGTCCAAGGGATGCCCACCTTGGTGGCCGTGGTGGGCTCTTGGGAGAACGTTCTGCTAACGTGGACTCTCTGGGACCCTGCGATCCTGAGCTCCCCGCTTCTTGGACGTGAGAACACATGTCCATACCCTGTGACCGGCCACGAGGACGTGGGGCCGGCAGGCAGTTGTAGAGCAAAACTGTCCGACTGCCCAGCTGCTTGAGCACTTCTGTCAGGGCCTCTGAAGGAGCCCCTTCCCTTCCCTGCCCTCGGCCTCTGCCTTCTGGCCTCACGCCGGCCTTCACCCTGGCCGTCCGTCGGAGCAGGGACCAGCTGGTGGCCTTTGTCGGGACTCTGAATTCTCACACAAACGCCAAGCGGCTGGGCCAGGCGTGCCGCCAAACAAGTCACACTTTTTAAAAAGCAACGTTAGTGATCTTGGAACTCTCGCTGCTGTGAATTCTACCTGGGGCCAAAATGAGAAAGTGCTGAGTTGGGGTGCTCGGCTGAAAGGCCCTCTGTTTCCCAAGAAGCTAAGATAGGCCCTGGGCATCTGGCCTCTCAGGACCCCAGGAGTCCTGGAAGTGAGGCCTCGGCCAAGGGCGAAGACCACTGGATCCCCCACACCCTCTGCCTCCTCTGCGCCCCTCCCCCGGGGGGAGGCACAAGGAGAGGCCACAGCTTCTCCGCGGCCACCTCCACAGGGTCCTCACACGTCCCCCTCCAGCACAGGCCAGCAGGGGGCGTCAGCTGCGGGTGCCCGTGCTGTGTGAATTATCGTCACCCCTGATGAGTCTGAAAATAAACTAAGTGTGACTCTGATGGCTTTTGTCACCGCTGTATAATTCTGGAGAGGCTCCATGGGATGGCAGGTGCCCTGCGGTCAAGGATGATAATGGGGTGGGGGGGCAAGTCACCTGACCTGCAGGGTGACCACACACTAGAGGGACAGCTTGTCCCTTTGTCCCTGTAATCAAGCCGAGTGTCTGCCACACAGTAGGTGCTCAATAATTGTCTGTTAAATGTAAACAAATGGCGTCTGTTTTCCACAGTGGCTGCACCAGTTCGCATCCCCAGCAGCCGTGCGCGAGGCTCCCTGTTGACGTCCTCGCCGGCACCCGGCGCCCGTCGTTTCTCGTCTTTTTGAGTCTAGCCATTCTGAAGGGTGGGAGGTGGCATCTCATAGTGGTTTTGATTTACGTTTCCCTGGTGACGAGTGATGTTGAGACACACTTTTCACGTGTCTCTCGGCCATCTGAGCATCTTCTTTGGACAAATGTGTGTGCATTCTTCAGTCACCTTGTTGGCATTTTTGGTGTTGAGTCGCACGAGTTCTTTACATATTTTGGATGTTAATCCCTCGTGGGATGTGTCATTTGCAGAGCCTCCCCCGCTCAGTAGTTTGCCCTTTTCAATTTGTGGATAGTGTCCTGCACTGTGCAAACGCTTTTTCTTTCCACGTAGTCCCGGTAGTTTATTTTCACTTTTACTCCCTCTGCCTCAGGAGACACATCCAGAAAAAGAGTTGCTGGGTCTGATGGAGAAATCACTGCCTGTGCTCCCTTCTAGGAGGTGTTTGGTTTCGGGTCTCAATTTAGGTCTTTTATTTTTTTTATTTTTTATTTTTAAAAAAAAATTTTTTTCAATGTTTATTTATTTTTGGGACAGAGAGAGACAGAGCATGAACAGGGAGGGGCAGAGAGAGACGGAGACCCAGAATCGGAAACAGGCTCCAGGCTCTGAGCCATCAGCCCAGAGCCCGACGCGGGGCTCGAACTCACGGACCGCGAGATCGTGACCTGGCTGAAGTCGGACGCTTAACCGACTGCGCCACCCAGGCGCCCCTCAGTTTAGGTCTTTAATCCACTTTGGATTTATTTTGGGGAGTAATGAAAGAAAGCGGTCCAGTTTTCCCAACACCATTGGTTGACGAGACTGTCTTTATCTCATATCCTTTCCTCCTTTGTCAGAGATTAATTGACCATACAAACAAGGGTTTATTTCTGGGCCGTATCTCTTCTGTTCCACCGATCCCTGGGTCTGCTTTTGTGCCAGCACCATACTGAGTAGATGACTGTAGCTTTGCAGTTCACCCCGAAATCTGGGGCTGTGATACCTCCAGCTTTGTTCTTGTTTTTCAAGATTGCTTTGGCTCTTTGGAGCGTTTTGTGGTTTCATGCAAAGTTTAGTGATATTAGTTCTAGTTCTGTGAGAAATGATCCAGTAATTCCACGTCTGCGAATTTACCCAAAGAAAATGAAAACACTGATTCGAGATGATACAGGCATCCCCATGTTTATTACAGCATTATTTGCGATAGTCGAGATATGGAAGCAGCCCAGCTGTTCGCCGGTAGATGCATGGATAAAAAAGGAGTGTGTGCGCATGTGTGATGGAATATCACTCGGCCTTGAAAAGGATGAGACCTCCTCATTTGTGACAACACGGGCGGGCCTAGTGTGCATTATGCTGAGTGAGAGAAGTCCCAGACAGAAAAACACCGTATGATTCACGTGTACGTGGAACCTAAACAACAAAGGAGCAAAACAGGAAGACACCCATAAATGCAGAGAACGCGCTGGTGGTTGCCAGAGGGGAGGGGCGGGGCTGGAGAGCCGGGCGCAGGGGAGAGGGAGGGCCAGGCTTCCGGTTACGGGCGAAGGAGTCCCGGTGCGGGAGGCCCAGCGCGGGGACCGCAGCCAGTGGCGCTGGAGGAGCGTCGCGCGGTGACCGCCGGGAGCTACGCTCGTGGGAGCACGGCGTCCTGCCCACGCCGTCCGGTCACCGCGTTGTACACCTGAGAGTGACGTGACCTCTTGTGCCACCTACACTCAAGTGAAAGAAATAATAAACCTAAATAAACAAGGGTATTTGCTACGCAAGGGGCTTTGGA